CTGTCATGGCAGGGGGTCGGACTTGATGATCTGCTCAGGTCCCTTCCAACCCTACCAACTATGAAACTATGAAACTCTCACCTCCTAAGTCCCTGATCAATTTTGTTGCCCTGTGCTGGACTCTTTCCAAAACATCCAATTCTTTCTTGAAGTGTGGGGTCCAGCACTGGACACCGTGCTCCAGGTGAGGCTTCACCACTGCTGAATAGAGTGGAAGAATCACTTCCCTTAATTTGCAAAGGATGCTCCTGTTAATACAACCCAAGATGCTGCTGGCATACTTTGTAATAAGAGTATGCCGTTGGTTCATATTCAGCTTATGGTCTACTGTGAACCCCCAGTCCTTCTCTGCAGTACTGCAACTTAGTCAGTCATTCCCCAGGCTGTATTTGTGTATGCAGTTATTCAGTCTGAAGTTCAGGACTTTGCACTTGTCCAAGTTGAATTTCATTTGATTGCAGACCATTTTTTCAGTTTATCCAGATCATAGGATTACCCAGCCAATTCCTTCAGTACCCTCAGATGCATCCCATCCAGCCCTGGCAACTTGAAAGCATCCAGCTTGTCTAATCCATAACCTAGTCTGCCATCACTCTAGGCGGTTTGTCTCCTTCCCTCTCTCTCCTGTCACCTACACTTGTCAGCTGGATTCTAGCCCTGTCCTCCAGTGTATGCTATTCCACCCAATGTGGTGTCATCCACAAATTTGCTAAGTGTGCGCTCAATCCAAACACGCAAATCATTAATGAAGATGCTGAACAATAGCAGACCCAGGACAGACCTCTGGGGAACTCCACATGATACCTCCTCCCAACTAGACATTGAGCCATTGAGGACTACTTGCTGAGTATGATGATCCAACTAATTGTGTATCCACCTTACAGTACTTGGATCTAGTCTGTATTTCCTTAGCTTGTTATGATAGTACCATGGAAGATAGCATCCAAAGCCTTGCTAAGTCAAGGTATACCATGTCCACTGCTCTCCACTCATCCACAGAGCTTGTCACTTTATCATAGAACAGGGGTGGGCAAAATACAGCCCGCAGGCTGGATCCGGCCAGCCAAGCAATTCCATCTGGCCCGTGATTGCACATCAATGAATTTTACCCCACCCAGCCTCCGCGGCTCACTCCTACCCTCATGCACAGAAGGGCCAGGCCCAGCCAGCACACAGCCTCTGGGTGGGGCTGCTGATAACACTGCAATAGCCACCGTGGGACCTGCTCAGCTTCTCCAGCATCCAGCAGCTCCTCCTTGTCTCCCTACTGCAGCACTTGCTTCAGGCAACAGGTAGGGAAGCGGTGGTGACAGGAGAAGCTGCAGCCGGGGGGAGAGGCTGCAGTTGGGTGAGGATGGGGAGCACAGGTCTGGGGCTGGTGGCAGTGTGGAGCCTGTGCCCAGGGGGGCAGTGGGAGTGTGGAGCTTGGGTGGGCAGAGTATGAGTGTGAGGGAGGGTAAAGGGTGTGAGGACCCCCTACACACTCTCCCCCTCGCCCCCATGGCACACAGCTCCTGTTGCTGGGGGCAGCAGGAGGCAGGGGCGCTCAGGGCAGTCATGACACTGCTATCTGGCAGCATGCAGCTCTGGCCAGACCTGAGCATGGTGACAAGGAGCACATCCTCTATCGCATGGCACTCCCTGCAACACACAGGCAGCTCCTGGCACTCACACGGCACCAGGGGAAGCCCTGCATGCTAGACCCAGCTGCCTTCCACACCCTGTGCATCTGCTGGGACTCCATCAGAAG